AAGCATAAGATAAATATATTTGTCCTTGGTTTAGCAAGTTTATAAAAAATAACTGCATTTTTTTAAGTGACAGAGCTACATTTATTTTTTCCTTTCTCATAAAAATACTTAATCAATTGGATCCCTATATTTTACATATTTCCTATTATTATAAATTGACCAATAATATCATCTGTTAATACGTAAAACTGCTTTGAATTCCCAGACTTTGGGTCATTCCAGTTGTATATGTAACATGTTATTTTCCAAAGTCACTTATCCTTGTTTCCTAATAGAGAGAACCAAGACAAAATGATCTTTATTTCTTTTTTGGTACCTAATTTAACTTTTCAATTATTATGCTCTGTATCTAGGCAACAAGAACAGTGATACCTAGAAAGAAATCAGTTAAAAATATCCGTATCTCAAAATAAAGCAAAGTGGAATTATCTAGAAAACAATTTGGTTTATAAACCTTGCATATGTTACCAAGTAATAATTGATATTTTAATTTATAAGTCATTTGGAAATATTAATGTAATATTTATGCTAAGTAGGAAGAGTTATTGATGATTGTAGAACTCTGTTTTCTAAAATGAGATTTGGCAAGTGCTATTAGGATTCTTTATAATTCATGCCTCTTGAATAGTTGTAGGTTTTCTGAGAGCATTGACCCTCCGTTCTCCAAGAAAATTAATTCTATTTAACTGTCACTCAAAATAAATTTGTAATTGCTTATTAAAAATATGACACTTATTTCACCTAGCAAGAAACCCAGGAAGAGACTGCCTATAAAAATATTGAACTATGTAAGATTTAGTCTTTTTTTGGTATTATATTAATTCCCCATCATTTTTTCCTCTTTATTTATAAAAAAAAAGTGGAAGCAAAACTATTTAAGAGATATAACCTTCAGTTAGAAGACACTATGCATTCTTAGTGTCCCAATCTAGCAGGCATTGTAGACGTGAGGTTGTGTACTAACTCTGTGTAGGTTCTCACAACATGTACAATGTGCATAAGTTAGGCAGGAGTCAAATGCATATCACAACCAAAATCAGCAAATGATCCAGTCAATTTGATCTTATCTAGCATTATATAAGTGGAAAGAAACACTGTTCTACGTGTCTGTTACTGAGTCCATTATTCCTTATCACAAAAGGAGTCAATAAAAGTATCAATAAACTTAAGAGAATATTTTTTTTAATTACAACAAAGCACATCATTTTACTTTTACAGCTAGAGTTGTATTACTACTATTTCCTGAAACAGGTCTTCCTCTTAGTTTCCCAACAGAATATTTGTAGACCTCATCTTGACCAAAGCAGGTGCCTAGCCCAATCTGTGATGTTTTCAATCATTGCTTTGTTGGTCTGCATTCGGGCATTTTAGGATATGTAGCATATTAAGCCATCTTATTTTTCCCTCCAAACAATTGGGGACTACTCCAGCTTGAGAGCAAATCTCAGGCCATTGGAAGCTGTGCTTTGGAGAAAAAAGGGGGTTGGTGGTTTGGACATGATAATCTCCATACCTGGAGGTTATGGCTTTAGAAAGAGACAGTTTTCAAAAGAAAGCCCTCGTTTTCAAAAGATTATTTGCTATGGTCATGGCCCTGCTGGACTTTTTTTCTGATGAAGAGGATGAAAAAAAGCTAGGGACATCTAGGAATAATAACTCTGGTGGGATTGACTCCAGTGGTGGGTTTCCAAATTTTTTCCTACTGGTTCTATGAGTGGTTCTAAGCACACGCGTAGGGCTCAAAGACCGAACTCTGTCAACGCTGGTAAGTTGAACTGTTTTTTAGCTGAGCTAAAAAACAAGAGAATATAGGAGAGGTAACCATGGAGGCGAGGCCAACCAGAGGTGGTATTTGCCAGTTCTCTGAACTGGTCAAAATTTCTGCTACCGATATGCCAGAACCGGTCCAAACTGGCTGAATACCACCTCTGATTGATTCCAGCACTGTTGTAGCCAATTATTCCCACTTCACTCTTACTGAAGCCGATCCAAGTAAGAATCACTGCCTGAATCCTCTATCTGCCTCTCAGATTCTTAAATCGATTCACCTGGTCCTGAACAAAGATACAGCAGTCAAAGGCTGGCCGGCCAAAAAGCAGGTCAATACAAAAGTAGACTCTAAGAGGTAACGAACAAGCTGTTCATTTGGATAAACATTTGCATGGCTGATTTTTTTAGGCCTCTGTCATTACCTCCATAGTATAAACATTTTCCTAGGATCACATAGCTATTGTGTGAAACCAGAAAAAGTCGGGACATCTTTAAGGCTTTGGCAGGTGCAACAAGCAACTTCAAATTCTACCCGAACCACATTTACTTTAGATACAAATGATTTTACATCCCCATTAATAATTGAGAACTGGTAGGATAATGCTCTTGATTGGTACATAACAAATGCTTATAAATTACTTTCTGAACTACAATTAATATAAAAAGAAAAAAGCAACAGACACAGAATGTGTCCAGTTCTGGATACAAAAAAGGACAACAGCAAATTGGAATGAGTTCAAAAGAGAGTTACAAAGATGTTGAAGACTTGGAAAGAAGCCCAATATACAACAGTTAAAAGGTCTGAGAAAGGCTGACAAGATAACGACCATTCTTCAGACATCTAAAAGGTGGGATTTATTTTCTACTCTGCCAAAGCATTGGACTGGAAGCTGTAGGCGTAAACTAAGAAGGAAGCAGAATTAATAAGTTTCAGGTACCTTCAAACTTAAAACCTAAACAGATAATCAATCTGTGATTACATATTTACTGCATTTAACTTGTTTTCTAGCAAATGAACTATCAGTAAATAAAAAATATTTTTGAAACTAAAGGTAATGAAATAAGAGAGAGATTTGAAAGTACATGCAGCAATGTTAGGAACTGCGCCTATCCCAAAAGAAAGATTTTTATGCGGAATATTTATTGTTCAGACATGTTTTACAGCAAGAAATGGATTGCATGAGATGCAATGTGAGCTGCCTTTAGGACTTATACTATGGAACAAGAGATCCAAACACCATTTCTTCTTTACTAAAGGAACAGCAACTGATGTATAATTTGAACTGTTGCTATCGTGATTCTTGAAACATTTTCACATTCAACGAAATTAATTATTCTATTTTATGTGTGTGTGGAGTTATTTTAACAAAATCATTCTATACACTATACATGTATACTAGAATACATTCATTTTTATGAAATACATCTCTACAATGGTTGCAATTATATTTTCTTTATTTGATATACAACACTATATTACAGTTTATCTTCTTTCTGTCCAGACCATATACATATATATGTTTCAATATCAGTACACTATATATTATTTTAAATATTTTATATCAAATAAATTGTAAATACACATTTAGTTACCTGTTATTTTTTATTTTATTAAATGATTTTTCAAATTGAGATTTATTGACGAAATAAATGTTTATTTATTCTGCAGTTCAAATAGGGCATCCTTTATAAATCAACACATTTAACTAAGAATAAAGATTTTGTTTTACATTTAACAATTCAATTGTATAAAGACTTATTGAGGAATAAATCTCTTTAAAGTCAGTAATTTTTAATGCATATTGCAGTTATTTAATAAGTATGGCCTCAGAATGTTAGGAAAAAAGTAATTAGGCAGCTAAATTTATCAATTTCTTCTTTGGCAGAGAAGACATCACACTGACCATTTCTTATATTGTTCACTTGATAAATAAGACAATATTGGTTGGGTCAAAATTCTATGCAACTCAGAATGCATAGAGGTTCTAGATCATAGTACATGTCTTCAGAATAAAACATTTTCAAGTCTTCTTGAAAATTATGCCATACAGCTACAGATATAAGATGGAAAGTAAGTCTAAAGCAACTATTTCATTAAAAAGTTTATATAGTAAACAAATTCTCGGTGCTGATTGCTATGTTCACAATAAAGATTGAAAGGAAGCGTAGAAATCAACTACTATCCTTTTATCATTCTGAAAAAAAAAGAAAATAATCACATCGTTTCAATTGCAGGAAGATGAGAAACAATAGGTTTCTGCTAACAGGTAAGACACTAAGTTAACTTTTATTCAGTATGAAGATGTTAATGGACACAGTTGGAAGAAAATTAAAATGTAATTACAGCGTTATCAGCCTGAAGGAAGAGAAATGTTTATTAAGCTACTGATATTGTTTATGCTATTCATATATTGTAATTTATATTGTATATAAATTTGTTGCTGCTGTTAAGATCTTGACTGAGAGAACAATAAATTTCTCAGTCATAGCAAATCTTTGCTACTGTGATTGAAATAATGATTAAAGTCATCAGGACAAATGGATTTATCAGACATATTTATTTCTCTGAAGCAGAAAACAGGATTACATAGCAGAAGGAGAAAAAATCCATTCCTGGATTTCCTCTGCTGCTTATTGGCCATATCCTGTAGCTATCTACTTCTACCTCAGAAAGCCTGAGAAGAATCTCAAGTTCTCACCTCTGTACATGAGAATAATTCAGATCGACTAGATAGCCACTCTAAATTTATTTCCTCTTATTGCTTTGCAATCAAACTGGAATCCAACATCAACAAAAAAAAGCCTCAGGCTTCCTATCCCTCCTGTGCAGAGATATTGTAAACTTGTTTTATACCACCACCACCACATGGGGCTGCTATTTCTAAAAATCTCGCATATGGTGGATGTCATTTATAATGCTGCAGAGAGTATTCAGAAGGATATTATACAAAGTGTATTGATAAGTGTGAAAGCACCTTTCTTGGAAGGATAGAAATAGTGGTGTCCCTGAAAAGCTGACTTATCCAGACAATACTGCACAATTCACAGACAACAATTTGGTTTGAGATTATCCCTGAGGCAAAGTTCATGTAGAGAGGACCCCAAAAAGCCTTCGAGCTGCCTAACTGAGCTACTAGAAGTCAGTTCTGTTTCAGAGTTTTGAAGAGAAGAAAAAACATCAGAGATCAACAAAGAGAAATATAGAGTGTCCCAGACACTTGCTTGATTACTTTGAATCTGTTTTGATTTTTCTATCCCTAAATACTCAAGGGACTGGGCAGAATATATCTCCCCAGGTTCTTCGTTAACGACTTAGATGAGGGAATAGAAGTGGAACTTACCTAATTTGCAGATGATACTAAGCTGGCAGGAATAGCTAATATCCAAGAAGATAGGCTCAAGATCCAGATGGATCTTGACAGGCTAGAACACTGGGCCATATCTAACAAAATGAAGTTCAATGTAGAGAAATGTAAAGTCCTACACTTAGGCAAGAAAACCCAAAAGTACACATATAGACTGGGGTGACTGGGCTTGGCTAGTCTAGTAAAGAGAAGAACCAGGGGAGACATGATAGCAGACTTCCAATATTTGAGGGGCTGCCACAGGGAGGAAGGGGTCAAGCTATTTTCTAAAGCTGCTGTCGGCCAGACAAGGAATAATGGATGGAAACTGAACAAGGAGAGATTTAACTTGGAAACAAGGAGAAACTTTCTGACAGTGAGAACAATCAACCAATGGAACAGCTTGCCCTCGGAAGTTGTGGGAGCGCCATCAGTTGAAACTTTCAAGAAGAGATTGGACTGCCATTTGTCAGAAATGGTGTAGGGTCTCCCGCTTGGGCAGGGGGTTGGATTAGATGACCTACAAGGTCCCTTCCAACTCTGATTATCTGTATCTGTAATTGAGCTCTACACCTTTGGAGAGTCTAATGTTTGCTTTTATGTTACTCACTAATCAGCTCTACCCATTTGTGTCAAAAAAGGCTCTGCCAAGGTGATAAAATATTTTACTTGTTCAGGTATTGTAAGAAATTCAAAATTAAACCATATTTCTGAAAACAACCGCACTGGTTCTATTACATCACACATGTTTTAAATAGTAATTGTGAATCTTGACATGCCCAGAAAAGCTAGATCTCTACAAAATTAGAAAAAGTTTGGGTTTTAAACTTTTATGTGCTTGGTGAATCTGATCTATTTTGCATCACTGATCATTCTATAACAAAATACTTTGAAAAATTATTTCATGTTGCTTATGTTAAAGAACAACAATTGAGGTAAATTCATATGCAATTACTATGGCAGAATCTGAATTTAATAAACGGTGTGCTTATGATATAACATGGAAATTTGGCTCACATTCTGGTATAAAAGAAGAACTTTTAAATTGTTTCCAAAGTTGGGTTATCTTTTAAGAATAAATACCTAATGCTAAAGAACAAGAGATATTCAGCTGGAGGGGGAGCAACAGGTTGAAACTAAACCCTGGCAAGACCAAGTGGCTCTGAGTTTGTGGTTTGTTGGCTGAGGGAGAATTGCTACCTTTGGTCTTGGATGGGATGGTGCTACCCCAAACAGACCCTGTGCGTAAACTGGGGGTTCTCCTGGACTCATGACTCCTGCTCGAAGAACAGGTGGAGATTGTGGCCAGGAGGGCCTTTGCGCAACTGTGGGTTGTGCGCCAGTTACGCCCTTTCCAGGATGAACAATCCCTATTCACAGTCACTTATGCCCTAGTAATTTCCCATCTTGACTATTGCAACGCGCTCTACATGGGGCTGCCCTTGAAGAGCATCCAGAAGCTCCAGTTGGTGCAAAATACAGCAGCCCACATGGTTTTGTGCAGACCCCAATGTGCACATGTATCACCTCTCCTACGGGAGCTGCATTGGCTGCCAATTTGCTTCCGGGTGCAATTCAAGGTGCTGGTTGTCACCTTTAAAGCCCTTCATGACTTGGGACCAGGTTATCTGAGGGACTGTCTCTTGCTGGTCACATCTACCTGACCCATCAGAGTGGGGAGGCAGAAAATGCTGTGGGTCCCATTATCAAGAGAGATACACCTTATGGGACCCAGAAGAAGGGCCTTCTCCATGGTGGCTCCCTCTCTCTGGAACATTATTCTCCCAGAGATTAGAGTAGCCCCACTCTAATACTCTTCCAGAAGGGACTGAAGACCTGATTCTGCCAACAGGCCTGGAGAACCCAGAACGGAATGGAGCCCATGAAATGGCTCGTGTGTGATCTGCAGTCACCAGGGCAGGGGATGGAGAGTGATTTTATTATATTATACTATATTAATTTATTTGATTCTTTTTATTAGTTTTATTGTTTTAAATGTGGTTTTATATTCTGTAAGCCACCTTCATTCGCCATGGGCGACTAGGCGGCAATATAAATTGAATAAATGTAAAAGTAAGGTAAGGAATGAAGCTTGGCTGTAATAGTAATGTTAATTTGTTTTAGCAAATGCAGTTTGAGGCAACAAATTGAATTGGGAGATAAATGAGAATGGGCCAATTATTTTTCCAAACGTTTCATTTCTGTTTTATATCTTCCTATATTAATATCTATCTCTTTCTAGACATACAGAGAACAAGGGGAGAATGCTTTACTGCAAAAATGTTATGAGAAACTTAGATGTCTCCTTACGTTATTATGCTCTTCTGGTTAGAAAGAGAAATCCCGAAGATTAGTATAAAGAGTTCTACATTAAAATCTCCAAGAGATCCAAATTCTTTTCTGGAACCTGTCAGCAGAAACGAAAAGAAGGAGCAGCAGTATTTTTTTTCTTTCCAAAAGGTAATTTTTTTTCTAGCTCTAGTCTAGAGGTTAGAAAATTCCCCTTTCTACTTACCTACAATATCTCTATTTTCTTTCTTTGGCATCAGAGATTCAAAATTGGGTAACTGAGGTTTTTAAATAATTCTTATGAGCTGTATATAGCAGTTTTGAGGTTGAATCTCCTCAATGGTTCTATTCTACAGTCATAGAATAACCTCTCTAAACCCATAAGACAATACCTTAAATTGCACTGTGAATTGCATTTCATAAAGCAAAATAAAATGTAGGTAGAAAATATGCCCAGTGAAATTTTGAGTAGGTTTTAGACTCACATGTCTGTGAAAAAAATTGTAGCATTTCTTCCCTTGACTTTAGAATATAGGAAGAAAAATAGTTATGAATCCATTCCTACTTCATTAGATCAAAACAATTATTGAATCCAAATGGAAATCCCAGTAGATTTCAAATGGCTTGTGGATGTCAGGCTTTAACAGAAATATTAGAAATGTAGCTGGTTACATTTATTCTCACCTTTAAACAGGAATATAGTCTTTGGAGAACAGTCTACATACAGATATAAATTCAGTTTGGCCGTGTAAAACAAATTCATTTTTTTCAATCAAAAAACATTGATTTCACTAACGATTTACAATTGCAAATTGTATTTTACAATACAATTCCAAACATCTAAACAGAATTTCCACTTCAATGAAATATATTCAGAGAGAGGTCTGAACAGTCTAATGCCCTAACAGAGCACCCCAATGAATGTTTACTCAGAAATAAATCCCACTAACAGACACTACTCTCAGTCTTAAGTGTCTGTTAGGATGGCATGCTTTATTATGGGGACTGTGATTTCTGCTTCAGCTGCCTCTCTATACAAGACCAAGTTACAACTACTATACTCCTGGCTGATGTAAAGCTGCACTAGCCTTAAGTACTCAGAATTATATGAGCAGTCTTTGATTATGTTCAAGATCCTGACCATGAGCTATTTCCTACTTTGTCAATTGTTATTCTCAGCGTGTTCCATTGCAGAAAACCTGTTACACTAAAACCCTGCACTGCAACTCCCTGACATTGGTTGCTTTAATAAACTGGTTCTTACAGTTTGTCCTTAGCTGCTTGATTCTTGAAAAAACAGAGGATCCAGGTAGCTGGGGGAGGGGCAGGGAGGAATCAGCATATGATAGGAGCAGGAGCAGGGTGATTTATTTATTTTTGCTCTAGACATATACCTTTAATAGAATCTACTTTCCAAACAGAAAATGTTTTCATTAACATTAATCAGATTCATGGTTGAGAAAAGAGTTAAAATGCCCTGATTCTGTGGTTCCTATCCAGCTAGTGAAAAATTCAAGCACGATGTATCATGTGACAAACTCCATACTGAGTTGTGCTAATTATAACTAGCATTTGGGTTTTAAAATCAATCTCCAAAGGATAGAAAAACATGGTATTACTGTAAAAAGATCGTTAAAGAAAGACAGTTTTGAAATTCAGATAAATGTAAAATGCCAGAGAAAATCCTCAAGAAGGAAGCATTTTAATCAAAGTGTCCAAGAATGATTAAAAAAAAAACTTACAGGAAAAAAGCAAACAAGCAGAAATCAATCTTCATAGTCTCACCTTCCTGGGAAAAAAAGATTAAGATGCACTTTCTTCACATAATGGGGAAGATGCAAGATCAACAGCTGTATTGCTTAATTGCTTTTTCTTTTCTTCTATTATTGAAACCACACTCTTTAAAAAAAAGGAGCAAGTTAATCACCAGGGGATAAAAAATGTTTAAAAAAAACTAGAAATGAGTAATTCAAGAAAGATAGATCCCTACCTGTCTGTTCAAGCCTTTGGCCATGTCCAGAGCACCCTTACCAAACTGAAAAATAACACAACAAACAAATGACACATTCAACTTACTTTTTAAGTACGTGTATGAAGAGAAAGAGAGAGAGAAACATAATACCTCATTTTTAATATCAGGATCTGCTCCCTTCTCTAATAATAATGCAACCAAATCTTCATGATTATTTAAAGCTGCCACCTGTAAGACAAGGAAAGAAAAATATGTCATTTAATGTTACATCTTTTTCAGCCACTGGGGAACTTAAGGGGGATTTTTTGCACATGACAAAAGTCATACTAAATGCCACTTGTGTATAAACACTCTCTAAATCTCATATGTTGTTTGCCTTTTGCAATGAAAGTATGCAAAGATTTGAATGTGTTGAAAATAAATATGTTCACTGAGGGATTCCTTCAATTTCTTACATAGTAAATTTGTGATCTGAAAAGCACTCAAAGAATCCATTGACAAACCTCTGTATTATCTTTCAATCAGAATAGATCTGGAAGGGACCTTGGAGGTCTTCTAGTCCAACCCCCTGCTCAAGCAGGAGACCCTATACCCGTGATGGCTAATCTATGCCATGCGTGCCATGTCTCAGGGCACGCCAGCCATTGTCTGTTGCTCTTCCAGGAGTGTTGGAAACTGGAAGAGCAGCTCCCAGCA